TCCTCCAGGGTCTCTGTCCTGCAGGGTTTAGACCAGGGGGGTCCAGTCCTGGTCCTCCAGGGTTTAGACCAGGGGGGTCCAGTCCTGGTCCTCCAGGGTCTCTGTCCTGCAGGTTTTAGACCAGGGGGGTCCGGTCCTGGTCCTCCAGGGTCTCTGTCCTGCAGGTTTTAGATCAGGGGGGGTCCAGTCCTGGTCCTCCAGGGTCTCTGTCCTGCAGGGTTTAGACCAGGGGGGTCCAGTCCTGGTCCTCCAGGGTCTCTGTCCTGCAGGGTTTAGACCAGGGGGGTCCAGTCCTGGTCCTCCAGGGTCTCTGTCCTGCAGGTTTTAGACCAGGGGGGTCCAGTCCTGGTCCTCCAGGGTCTCTGTCCTGCAGGGTTTAGACCAGGGGGTCCAGTCCTGGTCCTCCAGGGTCTCTGTCCTGGTCCAGTCCTTGTCCTCGAGGGTCTATGTCCTGCAGATTTTAGACCAGGGGGGTCCAGTCCTGGTCCTTCAGGGTCTCTGTCCTGCAGGGTTTAGACCAGGGGGGTCCAGTCCTGGTCCTTCAGGGTCTCTGTCCTTCAGATTTTAGACCATTGGGGTCCAGTCCTGGTTCTCCAGGGTCTCTGTCCTGCAGGGTCACCCCTGATCCAAACCCTGCAGGACAGAGACCCTGGAGGAACAGAATTCTGTTGTGAAACCATCATCTTATTTATTTATTTATTTATTTATTTGGTATATCTGCAAAAATACAAAAAATATTGCATATTTTGCTCCACCTGGAACATAAATCATGATCCAGAAACTGAAGTTCTTTTTAAAAGTCTAAAAAAAAGTAAGAAGACGAGGAACAGCAGCTCAACAACACAAACTTAACGTTGGGAATTTTACAGGTTTTTGCCAAATTAAGTAATAAAACGTTAAATGAATAAAACTTGCATGTTTTTTAAACAGGGTCACGTCTACAGTACAAGTCTGTCCTTTTTACAAACGAAGCATTAACTTTTATAAGAGTCATGATTTCTGTTTATTCTGAGGGTAAAAACTCTTCCTCGTGTTTTTAAAGAACATTATAAACAGCGACATGTCGCCCCCACGTGGACAAACATGGCGTTACAACTGAAATAAGTTAAGTTTCGGTTTTCAATCAGCTGAAATGATACAGAACTCTACCCCCGCCCACGAACCGAGCCGTCTGTAGCTAACAGCTGTTTTCTGTTCTTCTCTGCTGAAAGGAGACGCCAAAACAGCGGGGRAAAGATGGAGACCATCGTCTTGAAGTACATCTGCGACAAACGAGGAGCAGCCGATGCAAACGAATTAATATGCAACCTCTTCCCGGGCAAGTCCACGAACGATGTCCTCACCAACCAGGACAAGTTTGTCTTGTGTCACTCCAGCGGACAGGAGAGAGTTGTGGCCAGGACCAGTTTGAGGATCTGTAGAACCAGAGGCTGTCCGGGCTCATGTCGAGGGCTGCACCTCTGTAAGGGCTTCCTCCTCAGCGGCGTCTGTCACGTCCTCCTGCAGGGGTAAACACCGACGTGTTCTTTCTGCACTGCCATCAAAATGGACTATTTCTTCACAGCGGCCATAAAAATGTTTTTGAAACGTGAATTTATTTATTTACAGCTGAGTTAAGTTCACTTTTTTAGCCAGGAGTGATTATTTCTGCGGTGCGTTCAAGTGCCATTGGGAAAAACAGACTCGTGTTCGGAGACAGTTCTGATACGTAAAAACAAATATTACAGGTCTTTGAATTTATAATATTTTGATTTAAATTGGTTATACTTTGTTTATGTTCCTTTATGATTGAAACAAAAACGTGGAACGGAATATTTAGTTGTCCCTAAACTTTAACCGACAAGATCAGCTTTACAATTTCCTTAGCTAGCAGTGAAGCCACCACTGTTAGCTTTTCTTAGCTAATCGGCTAGGATAAGTGGTAATTTTGCTATTAGCTGCTAACGAGGCTAAGATGTCCTGATGCATCTCAGTAATCCAGGTAAAAAATCAAAAAGAAAATAATTTTGTAGGTCTTCTGGACGGGTTCTTCTCTAATGAAACGTTTCTAAGTTAGAAACTAAGAGGCTAAGATAAGCTATTGGTGTTAGCTTTGCTGTTAGCTTAGCATCTTTTAAAGCCAGTCTTGCCTTCTATCTCTGCTATCTCTGGACTTTGAACATAATCAAGCTGTTATGCTAATAAGGCTAAGATAAGATAACATGGTAGGTTTGCTGTTAGCTGCTAATAAGGATTTTCTTTACCAAAATAAAACATTTCGAACAATGTAAAGTAACAGGTTTCACAGGTTGAGTTGTTTACTCAAAGCAGTATAAATTAACATATATATTTGCATTAAAAAGGGTTATACTCCCCAATGTTTGGATTAAATTTTTAAAGCTGCTAATAAGGCTAAGCTAACAGTGAAGCTACCTGTTAACTGAGCTAGTGGTCAAGCTATCTGTTAGCTTGTTTTAGCTAACAGTGAARCCACCATTGCTTGTTAATCTTAGCTTTTAACACAACTTATAAAATAATTTTGTGAATTTTTTTCATCTATTTTATGTTGTTTATTTATTTTTTTTGATTAAAATTTGTTTTCCTAAGTTGTTTATTTGTGTTTTGCTTTTACAACAGTAACACAAACAAAAAATAAACAAACTTTGAGTCCAAAAGTCAATGACTTGATCCTCTTTAACAGTATTATCTTTAGTAATAATACTTTAGAGTAATAATACTTTTTTACCTGAGAATCAGGATAAGATGTGACTCAGATTAACACTTTATTGTTTAATTGCAGAGGAACCTGCCGTTTGACCCACAATCTGAATTCTGAACACAACCTGCGGGTCCTGAGTGAGCATGGGCTGGATAATCTGAGCAGACAGGAGCTGTGTACTCTTCTGCTGCAGAATGACAACACACTCCTGCCTGCTGTGAGTCTGACAACACACACACACAATTACAACATAATTATACTTTAATTTCATGTCACAAATGAAGTCCAACCCCTGCTCTGATCGTCTTCTGGTCTTATTTCCAGTTATGTCACGACTACAATAATGGCGTTGGGCCGTTCGGGCGATGTCAGAAGGCTTCAGCCTGTGACAGACTTCACATCTGTGAGAAGTACCTGAGCCGAGACTGTGGCTGCAACAAGACCCACGACTTTTACGCCAGCCAGCCGATGAAGAGCCTGCAGAATAAAGGGGTTCCCGACACCTTCGTTCCCTCGTTGAGAGAGATTTATGCAAATAAAGAAGCCCTGAGGTTCTTCGAGAGAAGAAGCGATCGTAGCTCCAACGATTCAGACGCAAGAAGTGACGGTTTGAGTTCGAACCAGGGGCAGGGGTACAGAGGGAGGGGGAGAGGTGGCAACAGGGGCTTTAGAGGCAGCAGGGGCAACGCGGGAAGACCAGCACAGCAACATCGGACCTCTTCTCTTAGTGACATCGTGAGCAGCTTTGAATTCGTCAGCCTGAACGGAGAAGTGGGTCCGGATCAGAAAAGTGAGCTCAACTCGTCCAACAGCGACATCTCTTCTGCCGGCGACAATGGTTGGAGCTCAGACCAGAGGCAGTGGTACCGAGGGAGAGGGGGAGCGGGGTACCGGGGCAACAGAGGCCGAAGGGGCAGCGCAGAAACCCCCCGAAGAATCCCTTCCCTCCTCGATGACTTGGCTCTGTTCGCTGGGGACCGGCTGAAAAAAGACGAGGAAGAACTCGACTGTCCCAGCAGCGACGTCTTCACAGCTGGAGATGACTCCGACACGAGCGGCGGTCAGGGCAGGAACAGGAAACAGTCTTCAGCCGTCGGAGGAGGAGGAGGAGGAGTAGGAGGAGGAGGAGGAGGAAGAGGGGACACTCAGCGGACCCCCAGAAACCGCTCCACCAACGAGAACTGTGCTGCTGCCGGGGCCAGGAACGAGCCGAACAGAAGACAAAGAGGTACAAACCGCTTCACGTACTCATCAGGACACTATGAACTGTGAAGAAGTACTTCATTGTGTACTTTTTGTTTTTACTAGATAAAACTGAGATATGCATGTACTTCATTAAAGGCTTCTGTAAGCACGAGGGTGAGTATGTCATTATTCCTACTGAAGCTTCTGTATGTGCAGTACACAGTACAATTATACTTTATACACAGTACAGTTATACTTTATACACAGTACAATTATACTTTATACACAGTACAGTTATACTTTATACACAGTACAATTATACTTTATACACAGTACAGTTATACTTTATACACAGTACAATTATACTTTATACACAGTACATGATACTTTATGTACAGTACACAGTACAGTTATACTTTATGCACAGTACATGATACTTTATATATAGTTCATGATACTGTATGTACAGTAAACAGTACAATTTTACTTTACACACAGTACAATTATACTTTACACACAGTACATGATACTTTATGTACATTACATGATACTGTATGTACAGTACACAGTACAATTATACTTTATACACAGTACAGTTATACTTTATACACAGTACATGATACTTTATGTACAGTACACAGTACAGTTATACTTTACGCACAGTACATGATAATTTATATATAGTTCATGATACTGTATGTACAGTAAACAGTACAATTTTACTTTACACACAGTACAATTATACTTTAGACACAGTACATGATACTTTATGTACAGTACATGATACTGTATGTACAGTACACAGTACAATTATACTTTATATATAGTACATGATACTTTATGTACAGTACACAGTACCTTTTACTTAGTTCACAGTACATGATACTTTATCTACAGTACACAGTAAAATAATAATTTTTACTTTGTAAACAGGACATAATAACTTATGCAGAGTATGATACTTTATATACAGTACAATAATTTATGCACAGTACATTATACATTATGTACAGTACATAGTACATTTATACTTTTTTATTTAGTACACAGTACATAATACTTTATGTACAATAGTACATGATACTTTATGTACAGTAGTACATGATGCTTTATGCACAGTACAATTATACTTCTTACTTTGTACACAGTACATAGTACTTTATGTACAGTTCATACTTTAGGCACAGTACATGATACTATTACCAAAGTACAAAGTACTTTATGTGTAATACATACTTTATACACAGTACATGATACTTGTTGCACAGTTCACAGTACATGATGCTTTCTGTACAGTACTAGATAGTGTGTGTACAGTACACAGACAGGATGTTGTCAGACGGTTGGTGTGTTTTCAGAGCGATGCTTCAAAGCTCATGAGAAGCTGCCGTACAGTTGGCAGGTCCAGGAAGGTGACCAGTGGAAGAACCTGCCTACAAACGAGATGATTGAGAAGGACTACTGTGACCCCAGTAAAACCTGCAGGTCCTGAAGCACCACTGGACATAAACTCTGAGATGTTTCACTGTTAGCACCTAATCTGAACAGATACCTGGTGTGGTACGCTGACTCTGAGGGTCATTTATGATTTTATGTTCTTTAGCAGCGACAGACCACCTGTGCACTTTGACACGATGACCCGTGGATCAGACAAAGTCAGGAGACTCTCAACTGTGAACTCTTTGGTGGAGCCGGACTTCATCCACACCACCGAGTGGCTCTGGTACTGGCAGGACGACGACGGGAAGTGGCATCTGTACGGTGCAGACGTGAGTAAATTAATATCTGAGGAGGTACTGCTCAGGAAATAGACTGGTTCTGCATTCCATCATACAGCTCAGGAAGTAGACTGGTTCTGCATTCCATCATACAGCTCAGGAAGTAGACTAGTCCTGTGTTTAGGGTTGGGCATAA